AAGGGCCAAACGGGCCTTACAATTGTGTATATGTATTAATACGCCGAGAATTCCTCTCCCCGTGTCTCTCCATCCTTTCCCCTCGCCCCCTCCCCCCCTCCGTCTTCTCCTTCTCTATTCCAAACACAAACCTAGTGTCTATCTGGGCTCTGTGGAAAGATTTCCAATTCAACACACAGAGAAAATCGACCCAAAAACCAATAAATTTACTATTCAGTTAGTTCTGTTAGTTCTGTATTGATATATTATACGCCAATAAAGATTAATCAGTTGATTGTAGGACTCATATTACCAGATTGTAATCAGATCCATCAAGATTGATTGATGGATCAGCAAGATTACGAAACCCTAGGATCATCGGAGAGTAATCAACTCAACCTTGCCTCTGTTAGCAGTAAGCTCAACGCTAAGGCGCCTGAGTTCGTCCCACGGTCGACTTCTGTACCGTCGCCTTCACATTCGCAGTCTCCGCCGCCTTCGCCTGCGGTTGCGCAGCGGGTTTATACGAGGCCTCCGTTCGGGTCGCCTTTAAGGCCTTACTATGGATTTGAGGGTCAAGTGGCGGTACAGAATTATTATCAACATGGGGCAATGCCGCTTTATGGGTACTTAAATCCGTCTCAGGAATTGTTGAATGGGATCCAAACCCCGGTGGTATCTGCAGAAGTGGCCGATGGTATTACCACTACCGCCGCAGCCATTTCGACGAAAAATGGAATGCCAGATGCTCATCAGAAAATTCTCAGCCAGGCAAGATTTTTATATGGTTTATTATATGTATTGCGAGTTTAAACTGTTCGATTATAGCACTGTTTGACAGTTACTCGGTTTCTTGTGATTGTGTGTCTTTGATTCTTTGTTGCTGGTTTTATTTAGAGAGAATACACCATTAGGGTAACTGTGTTCCTTTACTCATATCTAGTTATGAATCCATGAATTCATCCAGTAACTCAGTGACATGTAAGTTAAATTTATTGCTGAATTTTGGATGTTTTGCGAATGAAATATTATGTGTTATGCTTAAATATTGCATTTCTCGTATTTTGATTGACTTGTGATTTTGAATGATAAATATTGGTGAATTTGGGACTGTTTGGACTCATTAGCAGAAAATATGGTATATCTTGGTTAGGGTAGTATGGTTTTGATTTATCTGTACAAAATGAATAAATGATGGATACTTGTGATACTGTGTGCAGTAATTTGTTTTGTGTAAATTGACTTTATGAGGTTCGACCACTGATCTGATTTTGGTTATTATACAAATTAGCTTTTGGACGGTTAATTTTCAGTATTTATATCTATTTTCTGAGAAGACATGAATAGCCGAAGCACCAAATCCTGCCGAAACTTCATTACGAGAAAAGAAGCTTAGGACATAATCTGTTTATTGTAATATCAAGTGCTTCATAAGTTACGACACGCTGTTATTGCTCTGAAATCAGGCTTGTTCCGCCTTGAACAAGTTGTGCGGAAAGGATTAGACAGCAAGAACAAGTTCCTGATTGATTTGCAATAAAAAAGCTATTTTATCTATTTCCTGTCATGAAAACAAATCTTTTTGTTACCAGAGCAAAAGGCATAATAAAAATCCACCTACCACTGTTGACTTTGCAGTTGGCTGGTTTTTAGTGCTTACGATTTCACTCTAATTGTTTATTTAATTTAGAAAATCAGTTTTTTTTTTTTTTTTTTTTAATATTTGTACCTCTAATACTTTTGCATTTTCTTAATGCTTGTCCTGGTGAATTCAGTGTTGTCTCTTCCAACATTAGCTAATGCTTCGTTGCTTTTGTTTTATAAGAACATGCTAATTTTAGATACCTTTATGTTGCAGGTGGAGTTCTATTTCAGTGATATCAATCTGGCTACCACCGATCATTTACTTGGGTTCATGATTAAAGATCCTGATGGCTATGGTAAGGTTTTTCCTAAGAACGTTTATTTTCACGATCATTTTGCCTGCACTATTCAACTTGTTAACTTTCTAAATCTCCCGCTTAAGAAAATTTTACCTTTACTGCAGTATGTAATTCCTGTTGTTGTTGATCTAACAGAAAAAAGTTAACACTGTAAGAAAATATGCTTGTTTCATGACATTTGGATGATTTCCTTATGCATATGCTTACCTTTTTGAGAGGTATATTTGATGTCGTATGGGAAGAAACAACTAGAATATTGTATAGTGCTAACACGTTCTGGGGCTAGTGAGCTGGTGCCCGACGTGTGTCCGACACCGACACATCACGACATGTTGCCGACACTTGTTGGAAATGCTAGGATTTATTGGCTGATTTCATACCGCCAAACATGTCTCATGACATGTGATGAGCTATTAAAATTCATCGGGAAAAAAATAAAAATGGATGACCACCTGGTTAGTAATCAGCGGAAGGGATGGGCTATTTCATCATCGATGCATGAGAGATGGTATCGGATGCACGAGAGGGGTTCTAAACCTAGAAGAGGATAACAGTGTCTCCTCTTTTTAACTTGCCAAACACGTCCTCTTGTTTTTTATTAAATACAATTGACCTATGAATAAAGAAATTTACCTATTTAGTTAATGAATAAAACTTGTTTTCGGAGCATTTATGAAAAATCACTTGTTGGTGCTTACCCATCTTTATATTTGTTTTCAAGAAAAGATATTTTTAGTAAAGTGATTTATTGAGGAAAGATGATCAAATTTGAGGTGATTGACCTTTCTTGATTAAGATCTCTTTTTTTATTGCGACGGGACATGGAAGGAGAAGGAAATAATGGGAGTTTGGAAGCTGGTTCATTGATTAAAGATTTATCACTTTAATCCTTGTGTTACCTTTCTTATATGTAGATAGTGGCTACTTAATTTAAGCAAAAGAGTTTTGGAGCAAAAAGAACAATAAATAACGCATGTATAATGGAGTTGAATGCTTGAAATCTATATGGGACTTTAATAGAGGATGAATCAAGTTAATATCATAGTCTAGAAAAACTATGTAATGGTGATAGGAACTTGGAGAACTCAGACTCAAGGGCATTGCCTTTTTTTTCTTGAATCCTATGCATTGGAGAAACAAGAAAAATAGACGTGGACCAATGAAATACATGCCCATCCTCTGGTTCTAAGCTTTTAATGGACATGTTTTGACCATATAATAAAAGCATATCTTGGTCCATGAAGTCCTAAAAAGGTAAGAACTCTTAAACCTGTAGTTGATGTAAAACCCAGGTTTTGTTCCCATCAATAATTCCCAAAATTAAGGTTATCCTTAATGTAGTTCTTGTCCAACATGCTTTGTTCAAACCATGTTGTACTGGGTTATTTGCTATCTCAATAGCTGCTATGTTATCACAGAAAAGCAACATGTGTTTATTTGTGCCAAATTCAATTCACTGAGAAGAATCTGCAACCAAATAAATTGAGTGAGTGCATGGTGCAGTGCTTGGTATTTAGCATCGACACTAGACAACGATACGTCATTTATTATCTCATTCCAAGTTACCAAATTGCCTTCAACAAATGATGCATACCTGAAGCAGACTTCCTATCCAGTCTTGCTCCAGCAAAGATCGAGTTTGTATATCCCACAATATCCAGATGCTTGTAACTAGAATACAGAATATGCCAAGATACGATTCACTGCTTGCATGTGTCGATCACTAGGATTACAACACTCACAGTATATTACAATCGAGATCTTGTATGAGTCTAGTTGATCAACTTCCCTATTAGCCTTTGATTTCTCTTTCTTTGTAGGAATTAAATCGGGCTAGTTAGATAAGCCATGGTTTACCGTGATAGGAGTGCTTGGAGGTTCACATGCTGAGTACTAGTTTTTGCCGAGAGATATAATGTATGTTTTCATTAGGAAAGAAGAAACCCTTGTTTAGATTGAGATACCTCAATGCCTAAGAAGTATTTTAGAGAACCTAAATCTTTGATTTTGAATTCTTTCTCAATCACATTAGGGTTACCACCAGAGTAACAGTTACAATTATGTCATTGACATACAAAATAACTAGCGTGAGGATGTCATTGACATACAAAATAACCAGCGTTATATCCTCACGCTGGTTATTTTAGAGCACCTAAATCCTAAATTTCAAATTCTTTCTCAATCATAGTAGGGTTACCACCAGAGTACCAGTTACAATTATGTCATTGACATACAAAATAACTAGCGTGATAACCTCACCATCACCTTGAAAGAGAGTGTGATTTACCAAAGCCTGCTTTAACCCGTACTCCATTGAACAACTTAGCCAATTTCTGCATGCAACTCTCTTGCTACTCCAAATAGTAAGGGCCCGCTCTCTCTCTCTACCAGTGCCCATCACCATCTTTGTTAGATTTTCGTGAAATGCAATGAGTAGACAAGAAGGTTACAAGACAATTAAGATGTTTCATAATTTTAGTATTTGAAAGAATATTATTAGAGAAAGTAGGTGCTTGTAAAACAGAAGTCATTAGAGAATGTGAGAAAATAAGACATTTTGGGCCCAATAATTAGCATAGAGGTCCAGTTAGCAACCTGAACAGTCTTAACATGTGGAGAGGTTAAAGAGTCAAATAGGAAGAATTACTAGTAAAATGATGGGTTGCTCCTGAATCATAACCCGTGCTGGAAGCAGTAGCGGTAAATGCTACTCCAAAAATTTCCTTCTTAAGGAGACACGTGAGCTACATGACAAGCAGAGGACGGTGAGATGTCAATGAAGGCAGCCTGATAATGTTTCCTACTTCTCTTCTCGGTTTACTTGAGTTTGAACCACTCCGGATGGCCATGCTTGTTGCAACGCTTGCCCATAAAATGTCTAGTGCTATGGCAGGGTTCATTAGGCTTGGTAAACAGTGTGCTCAAGTGTTGGTCTTGGGACAGCCAGAGCAGAAGCCTCAGAGTAAACTTGTGTTCCAGTGGTGAGTTGTCTTTGCACCTCACGATGGACCATTGAGTAGGCTTCCTCCAGACTTGGGAGAAGGAAAATAGATAAGATTCGACTACTCTCTTGATCCAAACTTTGATGAAGACCTGCAAGAAACAGGTAAATATGATTTTTAGCGGTTCGGTTCCGTAAATTTTCAACATTTGCTTGCTAATCATATCATTTTGCCTGCAGTATTCAAGCTTCATGAATTGAAGATCAATTCATTGTAGTACTCTGCAAGAAGCTGTCCCCTTGATGTAACTAATTGACTTCTACATTAGTTAATAGACCTTTTAATGGGTTTGAGACATCAAGGTAGCTTTTTTTCACGGCATCCAACACCTTCTTGGCCCTTCCAAATTGAACAAAGTGGGACATTAGATTATCGGTCATGGAGTTTAGGGTTTATTGACTTTGGCAGTAGCACGGTCTTGGAGTTATAAGCCAAGACTTTACTGGAGCGTCATCAGCTTCACACTCATCATAGCATTGATCAGTCTCTGCTGGTATGGTCTTTAATCCTGAAATGTAACCTTTCTTCCAACTGACAATGTGCATCTCCAAAATCTTAGTCCAAACTCGATAATTTGTGCAATCCAATTTACTATGAATAAGGGAGGGAGTCTTACGTACAGGCTGTGAGAAACAATCTTCTTGCCAGCCATTCAATCATGGGTTTGATTTTCAATTTCAAAAACACACAATAGCCACTAAAAAAACACAACTACCCAAAAAATTCACAATCTGAACTCACAAGGAAGAACGACAGCAACCATCACTATACCACGCACACCACACCACCAGTCATCATAAAACACTAATAGCTCAGAAAAAGCAGTCTCTAACAAGAAGAAGGGGTCCACAAACTAACCTTGGGTCTGAAAATGGTTCTCCGGAGTAAAGGAGACCGCGCCTGACGTTTGCAGAAGCAAAAGAGGTCTCATCGTCGGTCCATGCAGATCTTAGTTCGCAGAGGCAGCTAGAGAGAGAAGCGCAACCCATGCTGAAGTAGGTGTCAGAGGCCCAACCCGATGCTGGACGTGGGGTCACCTACGTCTGGGTAGGTTGGCGAGGGGCTGCCAGCATCTGGGAAGGATGATAGAATGGCTTGGGTTGCTACCAAATTTCTGTGGTTTGCTGTTTTGATTTTGACAGCTAGGTTGTTTCTTTTCCTTAGCTCTGATACCTAGTCAGAGATAGAGAGAGAAAATTGTTGTATAAAATTATGTCCAAAAAGTATCTTAAACACAAAGATAAAATAAAGAATGTATTTACCAAATAGCCCCCAGCTATCTTAAAGTGACCAAGTTGGGTCCATACTAGTCACACATATTTTAACTAAGATCAGTAATGCTTGCTATGGAAAATATATTTGAAGAGATCTTGTTTCGATTGATTATTTTGATGCAATAAGGATACTCATCTGCTTCTCAATCGCCAATTAGAAATGAATTTTAACTGTTTTGCTACCTTCTTGTCATGTAGTGCCTGTCTCTGTTGTCGCATCATTTAAGAAGATAAAAAACGTCATCAGTGGTGCTTCCCAACTTGCTAGTATTCTGCGGAGCTCAAAAAAGTTGGTAAGTTTGCATATTTTGGAAAACATTCACCATATTGCAATACATCTTCTGATTGCACTGTAGTTCTGTGGCCATCGCTTTGTCATTTGATGATATTCATTTGTGGTCGACTTATCGTTCTCTAGGTGGTTAGTGAAGATGGCAAAAAGGTCAGACGTCAACATCCTTTGACTGAATCTGACATGGAAGAGCTACAAGTAAGTCATACTTAAGATAAATTTATTTTTTTATCGTGTGAGGTGAACCTTGTTCAATTGTTGGTATGTCCAAATATATGCATGTACAATTTTTACTGAATTTAACTCAGAGACCTTTTCCATTTATTGTTAGTTAATTGCAACTTACATGTTACCTCGATGAAGTTATTTTTTCTTCTAACCCTATCGTTGCCTTTTGACCTGTATCTTCTCCGTCTCAATAGTCGCGTATAGTTATTGCTGAAAATTTACCCGAGGACCATTGCCACCAGAACCTCATGAAGATTTTCTCCTCCGTGGGAAGGTACATGTTCTTCATCCTTCATTGATTATCAGATATTACACAGGAATGTTTCTTCATAATTACTTTTTATTTTTACCTCTTATGTTGTTGAACTGTCTACCAGTGTGAAGTCAATTCGTACTTGTCTGCCTCAGAATTCCAACGGTGGAGCATCATCAGCGTCTAGAACTGTGAAAGGGAATGCAGCGCATTACAGTAACAAGGTATAGATTTTTGTAACTATTTCTTGTCATAAATTCATAATCAATGCACCTTTTAAATAGAACGCAAAATTCCCATGGCCCTCATGAATGTTTAGGTTTATCATTTGACATGCTTCACAACATTTTCAAGATGTAGATTTCCTTCTCAGAGTCAGAAAAATGGCATGAGCCATAGGTGACTTGTGCGCCTGCGCATTGGTATAAATTTGAAAACAATAACTGAAAAAGTCAACCTCTTTTTCAATCTTCATGAAACTTCCTTTGAAGCCGAGACACCCATGAAAGTGAAATATACTGAAAGATAAATATTCATAATGCTTTGTTGGTGTGGGTTGTTGAAGAGAATAGATGTGTATTCATGAAACAGGCAATAAGTTCAGGCAGATGGAAGGAGAGAATGATATTGGCAATATAGAGTGGGGGATACTCTTTTACTCATGATTTGGGTAAATGGAGGATAGTTCTTTTTGTATTTTCCATTTTTGTATAATTAGATCTCTTTACATGTTTTTTTATTAGAGAATCTACCCAAAATCCATAAAATCGGTAAGGGAAGCACAAATTGACATGAAGTCAAACATTAAAATGCTGTTCAACTAATACAAACACGATTGATTTTGTATTTATGGATTTAAAGAGAAACGCATATCTTAATGCTGTATTTGAGTGCTATCAAATTACTTTTTAGTGACTGACTACAATAAGCTATCTGGTTTTCTGGAAATATTTTGAAGAATTGTCATTATCAGGATGCTGATTAGTCTGCTTTTGTTGTATTCATTTTTGGCAAGATCACACCCTTAACTTCTGAATTTGATATTTTCATGTAGTTGCATGCATTTGTGGAGTATGAATCAGTTGAGTTGGCAGAGAAAGCAGTATGTGATTCTTACCCTTACTTGACTCATCTTCCCACCCCAAGGAAACTTAAGAACTCAGCTCAGTTTAGCTTCTCTACAATCCGTGATCTGTGCTTGCTGTTTACAGATTGTGGAGCTAAATGATGAGGGCAATTGGAGGAACAGTCTAAAAGTCCGTTTGCTGATAAAGAGTGCAGTATGTACCAAACACTTTTGTTTGTTTTTTCTATTTATTTTCTGAAAGCACTATTTATATTCTTATGAGAAGACATCCCAGTTCTACTCGGTTCATCCTGTGCCAATGGAACTTTCATGGATACTTTATTAGGAATATTGAAAATGAAGCTCGATTCTTAGCTGTAGATATGTATTTAAATATTGAGAACTAGGCTACAAGAATCCTATCATTTTAATCTTTATGATTCCTAGTTTAATATTTTAGATATTGCTGTCCAAGACTAGTCCTTTTCCTCTTGCTTTTTGTGCATCTGGGGTGATGATATATCTGCAATGCGTTTAAAGGGGAGGTGACGGAAGTGAACCTAGTTAAAGTACTAGTTAAGGCTTTTTTTGTTTCATGACCTTTGTCAGATTATTGGTTGTTGAATTTATTTAAATATATCTGCGCTACTTTCGATACACAGGTGAAGTCTGCTCAAGTGCGAGGTAAGAAACTTCATGATGGTCAGTCCAATGGTAAGATAGATGAAGCAATTGTGCCAGAGGGGCAGCGGCTCAAGGAGAAACATTCAGAAGATTCATTGCAGGAGTCAGATGCTCAACCATACGGGTTTCAAGTAAGAGACATTGGGATTCCTGTTCTTATTTTTATTAATTTCTATCTGTTGGAGAGTAAATGAAATGATTCAGTTGGAATATATCTCATATATGAAGGGCACATTCCTGTCATAGTGTTCCTGTCTGTCTTACTTACTGGTGAAAGAAAATGAATTTAAGAACAAAAGACTTGGTGGAAGTCTGATTATTTGGCAGAAACTGACTAGAGTTATCTTGGAATACATGCTAATATCCAATAATTATAAATATGGGTGTTCCTGAGCCGAAATTCGTAAAGCTCACTTGTTATCATGTAAGAAGTTCTAGCTCAAATGCATTGTAATTTTCTTCAAAAATGTCACTTCTGATTTCAAATTGATTCAACAATTTTTATAGGCAAATATATTTGAATTCTGGGGAAACGCCTCTGAAATTTAAAATTCTTGGGTTGAGTTCCATTTCTGCCTAACAGACCCTTGGACAGGTTGATAAGTTGTATCTGAATCTTGTTTGAATCTTGCCACTTCGGTTCCAGGCTTCCTGCCCAAAATGTCTTTTTAATTTGTAGGTGATTTTATTTTTGTTTGGTTGTTTATGTACTGCCTTCCATATTTGTTGTTTGGTATGAAAGGGTAAAATTATACTGATTACTGTTTATAAGCCAGATGGATTTCCTTGGTATGATTTATCTAAAACGTTCATCTGAAGTGCTTGAACACAATTTCTTTCCTTTCTTCCATTTGGAGATTTGAGCATTGATTTTTTTCATTGGACAGTGGGAGGATAACACGAACAATAGTCCACAGAGGAAAGCCCACAATTTTGTCAGTGGCAATGGCAGTGGAAAGGGCAAGGGACAGGGCCGGGGGCGATCTCAGCATCACATGAACGGAGGAAGTCATTTGGGATCTTCACCAATGGAAGCTTCTGTCAATACCGAGAAGCTGACTATAGCCAAAGCATCTCCTGTCCCTCGCATGCCAGATGGCACTAAGGGATTCTACATGGGTCGAGGAAAGCCAGTAGCTATCTCAATAGCTTGAAATGCTCTAATATCTTAAAAAGCAAGTGCATCTTTCAAATGCCAGCATTCACTTGTCAGGGCAAAAATGGCTTGTTACGTGCTGTATGGAAGGAGAGTCGTTAAA